TCTCCGATGTCCTTGTCCTCCTCTTCCTCCTCCTCCTCACCATCCTCGTGGTGCCCCCCGTCCATGGGGTCATTCTGGGCGTCTTCCATGGTTACTTCTGGGGGCACCACCTGCTGAGGAGGCCACTGTTGCTCCGGCTGCACCATGAGGGGTGCCATCATGCTCTCCGGCTTCATTTGGCCCTCCACCTTGTTCTTCTCCTTGTATAGAGCCTCCAACTGGTGAAAATAGGGACAGGTCTTGGAATCTTCTGGCCTCTTCTTGTTGCTTTCTTTGACCTTCTTGAAGTACTTGTTGATGTTCTCCCACTTCTCTTTGCACCTTTTGGCGTTCCGGTTGTACCCCATTTTTCTCATCAAAGCTGAGATCTCCTCCCATAGAGGACCTTTTGGTCCATTTTCCTGGTACTTTGTTTCCAGGTTTGTTCTCAGATCTATCAGCGCTTGTACCTCCACTTTTGGCCACCGCGAAGAACTCGCTCCCATCATCAAATTCTCACCGTTATTATCAGCTTTATTGGTTTCCACATTAGTCATCACTAGTTGTTGTTGTTGCTGCACCTGATGTTGCTGTGGCTGTGGGACCAAGGACTGCACTGGTGGGGCCTCGGGAACAGTTGTTGTTTGTTTTTGCTGTGGTGTTGGTGTTGGAGTTGCCTGTGGCACCGGTTGCTGTGCAGCAATAGAGATAATGTTATTGTTGTTGGTATTCAATGCTGGTTGAAGATTATTTTCCTCTTGTTGATGTTCGGCCATCTTCTGCAAAAATGCCATAACAGCAGCGTCTTTAGCGGCAGCAATGGATCTTTCCTGTGCAAGAATCTCCCTTTCCCTGTTGATCCTTTGCATCTCTTGCCTTCTCCACGTTTCTTCTCTCGCGACACGCTCTTGTTCTCTCTTCTCAATGGCCTCCAGGAACCTCCTTTGCAGCTCCTCCTGTTTCTCTATCACTTCCTTCATGAGTCTCTCAAAGAAGTCCTTCCACTTCCTCTTCCTCTTGCGTCTTGCTCCCCCTCCCTCCGTGGTTGTTTCCTCCGAAGAGGTGGAGGAAGAGCTGGAATTGGACAAGAGATCAGTCGGAATGTTGGGGAAAGAAGGTGGGGCGATGGTGTTTTGAGGGTTCTTGCTGTTGGTGTTGTTGGTTGTAGGGTTTGGTGTTTGTGTTGGGAAGTATGGTGTAGGGTTTGATGATGGGAAGGAAGAGGTTGTGAGGGCGAGAATGCCTTGAGGCACAGGGAGTGTTGTTGGTGATGGAACAGTGGCAGGTGACAATGGCAGCGTTGTGGTCGAGGGAAGAGACATTATTGAAGAGGGTGTGGTTGTTACAACTATTGACAGTGGTGTTGCTGGTAGTGCTGTTGTTGTTACTGGTGGTGGCTTGGAAGGTGGTGGTGTTGGGGATTGGATAGGATGAATTGCAGGGTTGTTTTCAAGGGCTTGTAATTGATCAAAGAAGCGATAAGTTTTGCCTTCTGATTTCCCACTGCGGCCTTCTTTGGTTCTCTTGTGGTACTTGTAAACGTTCTCGAACTTCTCTTTGCACTTCTTGGCATTTCTGTGGTAGCCAAGATCTGCCAGCTTCCTGATAGTAATAATAACCCCAAAAGAAGACAAAGTAAAAAAACAAGCTTTGTGGCGTTATCTTATCTCTCATCAAGTCCATGGCACATAGTTGGCAATGGAAGAAAGAAGCATAAGATAATACAAAAGAAGCAAGTTAAAGTATTAAACATCTCAGGATTTCAAGTACCCATGAACGGAAATGGAGGGGAAAGGAAGTAACTGAAGACCTTAAAACAAGGGAAGGAAATTAAAGAAGAATATATAATAATATCAAAATTGATGATGTAACTGGAGTAAAAAGCTTTAATTAAATAATAACAACAATAATAATATTGATATTAATAATATCAAACACCATGAATTGGTGAAACGGAAACTCTTCCCATGGACAACACATGAACCCAAGTTAGAAGATTGTGCAATCTACCTCTTTCATTCCCACCAAGACTGGCTAACTGAAACAAGGTGGAAGAAAATGTTGCTTTTCAAGACCCAATTTAAGTTGCCAACTTATTTGGTAAACGCAACATGTATCAAAATGAATGTCAGAAAAAAAAAAAAAACCACATCACATATCCAACTCTAAATTACATCTTTTCACAAACAGTCCTTCTACACAACTTAAAAGAAGGAACAGGAAAAGGTGATGAGAGAGAGAGAGAGAACTATAGCTGGCAGAGATTAAGAATGAAAGAAACATAAAAACTGAAACTGAATTAAACAAATCCAAACGAAAGCTCTGCAGAAACCTCAAAGGAAACAAAAAACACGGAATTGAAGTGAAACACATTCCCAGGAGACGAAAGAGCAAATCTTGAACAATAATTGAGAGTTTTTCAGATCTCCAAAGCAGCAAACTTGAAGTAACCACAGCAGCCAGATAAGGTGATGAAGACAGAAAACCTCAAAACCAAACAATTAAGACCGAATTCAATGACTCACCTTGAAACCTCTTCCCACAAAGGACCCTTCACACTTGCATCTCTGAAAGCCACGTCCATATCCGACCGTATCTTCAACAAAGCCAGAGTCTCTTGTCTCGGCCACCTGTTCCCACCAAAGCTCCTGTCACCTTCCTCCACTCTCCCCCTCTCATCATCCCCTGAATTTGATCCTCCGCCACCGCCGCCGCCACCCCCTGCCACGTCAACAGCACCGTCATGAACAGCACCCCCTCCTGCTGCCACCACTGCATCTGCAGACCCTCCTCCTCCTCCTGTTCCCAACACTGCTGAGTCCCCCAGCATAGGACTCTCTCTCTCTCTTTCTCACCCCCCTCTCTCTCTCTCTTTTTTCTGTGGTCTCTATCTACCTCTACCTCTCTTCTCTCTCTTCAAAAACAGCACAGAACCTAGGCAATTACAGAGGAGGAAAAAAAATAATATGTGGGGGAAAAAAGAGAAGAAGAGGAGAAAAAGGGTGGTGAATTCTTTGATGGGTTTTATCATAGATGTGTGTATGAACGTGTATGTTCGGTGAATTTATTAATTTATTTGGGTGGGATCTGCCTGGTAATACTAATCTCAAGAATTTTATTATTTTCCTCCTTTATTCAATTTGTTTGTATGTACATGTCAGTAATAAACACAATAAATGTTTTCTTTTTTTACTTTTTCATTATTTACATAAATAATATCATCAAATATGGTTAATTTTATTCACCTTTTTAATAATTCAATAAATAAATAAAATACACACTTCCATCATCAATATTAATCAATAAAATAAACACGTTAAATTTTTTAATTTTAATACTAATTACCATAACCTGCACTCAGAAAATCCATTCAACTCTGTTAATTGATTAGTAATGTTAAAATTAATGCACTTGACTTTATTTTAATTGAAGGTGGAATCCTGGATTGTTTTTAAAGTTTATTTTATTTTTTTGTTAAAGTTGTGATCTTGGGGAAAGTAAATTACTAAATTCATGCACCTGGTTTTCTCTCACTGTAATAAAAAAAGTGGCACAGAAAGATATATGTATATAGAGGAAGTATTTTATTTATTTATTATTTATCGTTTTATTACAGAGGGAGAAAATAAAGATTGATGAATAACTGGTGCAGAGGGTTTTGAACAGGTGTAGAAAGAGACGATGGAAATAATAACTCGGTTTTGTCTGTGCAGCTAAATTTAGTTAAAGGCCGACTCATATAAGTCAGCTTTTTCTTTTTTACTTTGAAAAATTAATTTTTATTTTTATTTTTTTCTTGGGAGAAAGAAAGAAGATGAAGTTTATCTTTAGTATGCTTTTTGTTTGATGATATTTTTGGGGTTTTGGATTTCAGTGGCAGTTGGGCAGATTGAGTTAAAATGACGAAACAGGACATGAACATGGCTCTTGCATTGACCTTTAATCATTGAAGTTAATCTATGATGTGTTTTTATTTAGATTAACAGGTCAGTATGATGTGAGCCTGTCCCCCCTTCTATTTAAGACTTTCATTTCTTTTTCCTTTTTTTTATTTTGCTTTAACATTCTTCATTCAATTCTCAAATCTCCAAACTGCCCTTCTCTGCAAATCACTTCAATCTTTTTCTAACCACAATTTTTGACATCAACTGTCAAAATATTCTTATATCAACTATGTTAAAATGTGTATATTTCAACTTTTAAGTCATGCAAAACTTTATTAAAATTAATTATTTCTTTGTCATTTTATCTTTAAAAAATAGATAAATAAATTGTGTACAAAGCAATGGGTAATATATAGTATTTGATATCGTGTGAATTTATTATTGTTAAAATACATAATTTAGTAAAAACTTTCAAATTCGATGTTTATTATATATGAAATTTTTTAGACATATACTTATGATAAAAGAATGAGTGACATAAAATTTCATAAAAAGTATGGATTGAGTTTTTTTTAAATATTAAATATTGACAATAGTAATTGATGTTGCATAAGTAGAATATAACAGCATAAAATAATGTGAAAACACGTTTAGTTTATTGATAAAGTTAATTTGAAAGAGAAGAAATTTGTACTGTGTGGTACTCCACATGTGGCCTTTGGGTCCTACACGTGATGGTGACCATCACAATTTTGACAAATTGTACTTAATTCATGAAAATAGAAGTTTAAAATACTCCTGTTATAATTAAAATTTAAAGAAAATAACTTATTCAAGGAGACATTAATTTATGACCTATTTTATTAATAAAAGATAAGGTAGAATCCTTCCTATTTTAAAATTACGGTCAACCATTTATAGTGAAATAACATATTACTTCTTTCGGAATTTTTCACAATTTAAACATAGTTTAAGTAATTATAATAAAGTTGAAAATTAACAACTAATGAAGTTAATCCCAGTCACGTGACTAATTTTATCTTCATATGCTTTTGAACTCAATTTGTGAATAAGGAAAATGTAAATGATATTAACTTAGAAATCACCAAATATATTTTCTACCAAGATTTAGTTATGTATTTCTTTAAAAGGAAGGTGGAAATCTTCAAAAATAGAGTTTCTATTTACTTTTTTTGCACAAAAAATTATTTTTGAACTCTCTACCTACTATTCTTTCTTATTCATTTTATACTATGTTTAAAGTTTTCACCAGATATTAACAATTGTCATTACTATTTTAAATTCCACAAAATACATTTTGTAGCTTCCTAATACATGTTGACTATATCTAATTAATAACTTATTGACTTTTCATAGTTTAAAAAATATTTAATATAATGAATTTTTCAACAGAAAAATTAATTTAAAATAGTAATTTTGAAAACAATACGTAAAAATGATGAGAAGGATTCACTTCCTGCAAAAGTAAACGAAAAAAAATACTTTCAATGAGTTTTTTATTTAATTTTAGATTAACAACTCAAATTATGTAAGAATAATTAAATATAATATATTTTCTCTGATGAAAGAAATAACATTTTCTTAAAATGATGATACATAAATGACATATATTACAATAAAGTTTTCTTTTATTTAAATATATATATATATATATATATATATATATAATAAAAAAATAATTACATAGTAACTAAATTTAAAGATTAAAATAATGACTTATCACATTAATTTAGACATGGCAAAAAAATTCAATGTAGTAAGAAGATGATGTGAACGTGTGAGATGTTTATTAATAAAAAATAACATATTAGACGTAAGAGTCTTCTCTATTATGATGTTTGTAAGGGGTGTTAAACCTTACTCTTGGCTCTATAAAGTACCGTATGATGAGCATGTGTGGTTGGATGTTCATGTAGTTCTTGGTGGAAGCATATTAGGATTGATCTTGGTGATGGACGTGAATTCGATTTATGTGTTGTGGGGAATTATTTTGTGAGCATACATTAGGTATATAATACTGTATTTTTGTAGAGCTTAACTCATTAAAGGAGAACCAACACAGGTATGTAACCCATCTGTTAGTTTAGCCAAATTCTATATTTTTTATGCAATGAAGTGGTTGGGTTAATTGGTACAATTAAGGAATTAGAGTGCTTGTTGTTTTCTGGTCTAGAATAGACATTCTTATGTTGCTTTGGTGCAAAAATATGGGGTATTGGGCAGTGGTTACAGTGTTGTTTCAGTGCAATATTTTGTTGTTGTTTTGCTCTAAGTTTTGTGACGAAAATGGAGCATAATGGTGAGAAAACATTGTTGTTTTTAGTGCAAAGTTTTGATGGTTTAACAATGTCACATTTGTGGTTTAGTGTATACATTAGGGTTATAACGTGTATGCTATTGGAAATTGGTTCGAAAAACTAATGTAGGATGAAATTGGATTGTTAAATGCGTATGTGGCCAAAATTATGTCATCTAGTACTGAAATTAGGTTGTATAGAGACATTGGTTCGTCTAGGAGTGAAACTGGATCGTCTAGTTGTGAAACTAGGTCATTTAGGAGTGAAATTAGGTCATCTAGGAGTGAAACTACGTCGTTTGGGAGTGAAACTAGATCGTTTAGGGATGCTTGGAAATTTGGGGACCTAGGTCGTCTAGCACTAAAACTGGGTCGTCTGGGAGTGAACTGGATCTTTTGGGGATATTGGGTCGTTTGGGAGTTAAGTTGGGTCGTTTGGGGTTGTTGGGTTGTATGGTGATGCTACGTCGTTTAAGGATGTTGTCTTGTATGGGGACACTACGTCGTCTAGGGATGTTGTGTTGTATGGGGATGCTAGGTCATCTGGGGTGTAACTGAGTTATTATACACTAGGTTGTCGGGGGATGTTGGGTTGACTAAGATGTTGGATCATTTGGGATATTTGGTAGTCTGGGATGTTGGGTCGTCTCGGGTAATTGAGTTGTTTGGGACCTTGAATTCAGGGTTTTGGACATCGATTTTGCATGTTTTTTAGGTCATTTTTAGGGATTTTAGACCCTTCCTGAGCCATTAATGAGGGTTGAAAAGTTGTTTTCCTTGTGTTAGTGTCTACCGAGTTGCTATGATGTATATGTTACTACAAGGTTGTTATGTCTTCTTGTCATACTTCGTAAATTCGTGGTCTTACCTTTCGTCTTGCGAGATAATAGAAAAATAATCAAGTTTTCTTTTTGAGGGGGTAGAAAGGTGGATTTCTTCATCTACGAGAGGCGGTAGAAGAGATGAGGTTCGAATGTTTCCTTTTCCTCTTTTGAAGGGGTAGAAAGGGAATAATTTCTTGCCCGTAGGTTTCTGGCTCAAGATGAGTATAATGTTCGTTGTGAGCAGCATGGAAGTGTTTACTCATAAGTCCTTGAGGAGTAGGGTAGATAGGTCANAGAGAGAGAGAACTATAGCTGGCAGAGATTAAGAATGAAAGAAACATAAAAACTGAAACTGAATTAAACAAATCCAAACGAAAGCTCTGCAGAAACCTCAAAGGAAACAAAAAACACGGAATTGAAGTGAAACACATTCCCAGGAGACGAAAGAGCAAATCTTGAACAATAATTGAGAGTTTTTCAGATCTCCAAAGCAGCAAACTTGAAGTAACCACAGCAGCCAGATAAGGTGATGAAGACAGAAAACCTCAAAACCAAACAATTAAGACCGAATTCAATGACTCACCTTGAAACCTCTTCCCACAAAGGACCCTTCACACTTGCATCTCTGAAAGCCACGTCCATATCCGACCGTATCTTCAACAAAGCCAGAGTCTCTTGTCTCGGCCACCTGTTCCCACCAAAGCTCCTGTCACCTTCCTCCACTCTCCCCCTCTCATCATCCCCTGAATTTGATCCTCCGCCACCGCCGCCGCCACCCCCTGCCACGTCAACAGCACCGTCATGAACAGCACCCCCTCCTGCTGCCACCACTGCATCTGCAGACCCTCCTCCTCCTCCTGTTCCCAACACTGCTGAGTCCCCCAGCATAGGACTCTCTCTCTCTCTTTCTCAACCCCCTCTCTCTCTCTCTTTTTTCTGTGGTCTCTATCTACCTCTACCTCTCTTCTCTCTCTTCAAAAACAGCACAGAACCTAGGCAATTACAGAGGA